ACAAACACCCAAAAAAAAAAAACCCCACCAACCCAAAACCACACACCACAAAACCCAAACAAACAAAAAAAACCCACACCCAAAAAACCTACCACCACACAAAAACCACCAAAATCCAAAGCCACCCACAACAGCACTGGGATTCCTGCATGTTGGAAGCTATATTCTAGTTGAACTAGATCCTCATGTCTGTCTTTTTTTTCCCCACAGGTACTCACGATCATATAGCAGATCTACACTATACAGCAGATCTTAGTTTAAGATAACGTCTCTCCAGACTCAATGCAGACACCCAAGACTCCCTCAATTTAAAATAGTCACAGCTTAGTTTTATTATGTTGCGACAGGAGGCTTAATACTCTCCCAGAATACAAGGACAATCTTTCTGTTTAGTCAGGTATACACTTAACGGTCTAAATCCTATTGCTTGAATTATTCTGAAATTCTACATAAAGCAAAACAGAGGTTTACAAGCTAATATATAGAAATATCACTAATGTAACCTAAAACTTAAAGTTCATTCTTGGAGTTTAGTTTCAGAAATTATGTAAAGACTCCAATTCAAAATTAAGGAGGATGTGAGAAAGCAGTGTCACATACTCTAGCCCCTTCTGCCACCTAGTGGCACATAGCTAGAAGACATTGTGCTTTCTACACGGGGGCTTTTAACCAAATAAAAACAAACCTTCCCTTCATTGGTATAGTACCAAAACCTGAAGTTTTACAAATAAATCTTGCTCACAATGATATTCTTAAAGACAACAGAAAAATAATCATACAATTCATTCCATTCTTAAACAAGATATACCTACTTTTTTCCTGTCCAGTCGCGGTGCCACTCTGCTATCCTGAGAATCTGATTGATTGATTTCTGGATTAGTATCCAGTAGTCTTTGCATGGCTCGATCACGATCAAAAGCAGTTACATAAAACAGCATTTGACGGGTATCAAATGGAAAGAAAAATGGGCTGTAAAGAGCATTGGATTAGTTAGCTGGGTTCCAAATAGCATCTACGACTATAGTTTAGTTTAAAACACAACAGAAATGTAGTATGCCTGAAATTAGTGCTTTATTAAACACTTTGGTGAAAGCAGCCTCCAAAGGAAGCCTTCCAGAACACACTTTAGTTTTAGTAACAATGCTTACGAGCAAAAGTCTCGAGATGGAATATAATATAAGAAGGAATGGCAACAAATTCCAGAAAGTTCTAAGTCTTGCAGAGAACTCAAAATACTTGAATGCCTTGGCTATGCAAAGTTTGTATCAGAAAATAAATATTCTTTTACTTGCTCACACCTGTTTTACAATTAATAAATCTAACAGAACAAAGATTATAAGAAGGTGGCTCAAGCTCCCATGTTTGGGGGGTGGGAATGAGCACTTGCCTACAGCAGCACCAGCATTCTACCTTCCACCATTTTGAAAAAACACTTTAAATAATCTGTGAAAGACAACCAGAGAAACTTCTTAGTTCATCAGTTCTACTATTCTCTACCAACATTTAACTTAAGAGCCAGTTTTACTGAACAAATATTGCTACAAATGTTTGTATAAGAATACACATTCATACTTATCATTTGTTATCTGGAATGTTTATGAAGAATTTTAGAGATCTTATTTTGAAAATGAAAAACCAAATAGTTTCTCTAGAATATGTATTTCCAATCAGTTGTCACCAATGTTGCTTCAAGTTTCATGCTTGAAAAATGCAAGAATGTCAACTCTGATTTCTCATTCTTTCACGTGCAAGAGTTTTACAGCTTATACTCTGTATCAAGACACTACAAAGTAGTAGCTTTACAAAAATTATTTATAACATTTTATCAGTAATTATAAGAATATTTTCCATTGTCCCACACTGACTATGCCAAGATAAATGTAGTGGTATGACAAAAATGCCATTAAGCAGTTTAACAGGAGAAAAAAAAAAATGACCTGAATAATCGAGTACTATTATTTCAATGAGAAAACTTCAAATTGCTCAGAAACTCCTCTAAGAAGTGGTCCAAACTTTGCAGCTAGTCTAGCTCTCCGTATTTAATTTAACCTAGGCAATATGGGTGTAAACATTCATCCAAGTGCCTCTATGTAACTTAGCAAGACTTCTCTGACTACATTTTACTCTCCCCCAGCATGTTCAAAAGCATTGTAATATATGATGCACCTGGGCTGCCCACCCAAGAGGCCTACTGAACTCAAATTAGAAATACTATATGGTAAGTCATTCATACCATGTTTTTCCAAGTTCTGTCAGCCAAGTTGGTATGTTTCCTGTCATAATTACCAAAGGATCCTGAAGCTGCCTGTTTGCCTTTGCTGTCAGTTTACTGTTGATAAACTCTGACGTTGGAATTATCTCCTTGCAGATTGCATTCTGTGTTAAATAAAAACAACGTACTTCTAGTTAAAGAAATTGTGGAAGAAATACCAAGCCTTTGTTAGGAGGGTTTTTTTATGCTTTTAACTTGCTTATCATCACAAGAAAAAAACAAACAAACAAAAAACCCAACCCACACAAACCACCCAACAACTTTCATTGTCACTTTGGTCGTACAGAGTGTCTAAGCCATGAACAAAGACTGAGTAAATTTTTACTATTCATTTTCTTTTCAGGAATAATGTTGCTCTCTGAACATAAGGAAGGAAAAAAAAGCATGGAGAATTTGTTTAACAAGCTATAGAGGAAATATAATTGACTACAAGAATTTATAGCCTTCATCTTACCAGAAGTTAGAGAAATATAGTGGAAGACGATACTGTTTGCATTGTTCTGTCG